GTACGAACTAACACAAACACAGGGACGAGGAAATAGGCAAAGCACACCCGAACCTTCCCCTTCGCACCGCCTCTGTCGTGTCTCGTCTCCGTCGTCTGCCTCGTGAACCACTCCAGCAAGTCCCAGTCAATGCTTTGAAGCCATCAAAGAAACAATCAAAGCGAAACCAGAAAGGGTTGTTGATTTCATAGGGCCAAATCAAAGAAGAGAGATAAGGTTTTCTAATAAAGGAGAAGATGAGATGGTTGTAGAAGATGAAACCGTCGATGAAAAAGTAGATGGGGGTGGTGGGGGTGGCCGGAGAAGAAGTAGACGAAGGAGAAGAGTACCTAAAGCATCTAGGGTTTTATAATTATAACATTACCAATTAACCATTTATGTTATTTTTAGGATATAACATTAATTATTTAAATGATTGGCTCATATTGGTTCTCACAGTTACCACAAACAACTCAGTTCTCATTTGATTAAGCCCCTATATATATATATATATATATATATATATATATATATATACTATATTATAAAGCATTTGGCAAAAAATCTTGAAAACGAATTTTTATGCACGAAGTACTGTTTATTGATGCATATTACTTAAAATTTAAGATTACAAGTAAATTGTGCATTAGTACAACTTATTAAAGCTCCATATTTGAATTCGTCTAACTAACTGCAGATAAACATAATCAAATATTGGATAAACATCTTATTTTAAATATAAAAAATCTGAAATATAATTAGGATAATCATTGATAACTAACAGAATACTTAGTTATTATCTTTATAAAAATTATATTATATTATTAAATCTAAATTAAATTTCTTTGTTATTAAACCTAAATTAAATTATAATTAAGAAAATTTAATAAAGGAAATTTCACTAAAACACAAGAACTTTAAAAAAAATTAATTTAACACTGACATCAATATTTTTTTTCCAAAATTTTATGATATTTTTAAATTATATTTTATTTAAAAATAAAAACATTATCATTTTCTCAAAACCACATAAAACCAATGTTTACTTAAAATTCAAGATTACAAATAAATTATGTAAAAATACAACTTATTAAATCTCAATGTTTGAATTTGCATAACTAATTGCGGATAAACATAATCTAATAGAGGATAAACATCTTATTTTAAAATATAAAAAATCTAAAATATAATTTAAATAATTATCGAGTTCTAACAAAATAATTAATTATTATCTTTATAAGAAAATTATATTATTAAACCAACTATAAATTATTTCGTACCTAAATTAAATTGTAATAAAAAATTGAATTGAAAAATTACACAAAAATATGAGGAATTTTAAATAGTTAATTTGATACGAATATCGATATATTTTTATTATGTATAAAGTACTGTATATTGATGCATATTACTTAAAATTCAAGATTACAAATAAATTATGCATAAGTACAACTTAGGGGGTGTTTGGAATTGCTTATTTAAAACAACTTATGTTTTTTTGTAAAAATGTTTATTAACTTATGTGATATCAAACCGGAGTTAAATAAAACAGGGTTAAAATTGTAAACTGGAAATAAGCAGTTTTTCATAAGTCGGGAAGGATTAACTTATCAAAAATAGCTTATTACCGGTTTGACACCAGTATAAGCAGTTTTTTTCTTATCCAAACACCAGAAAACAATTTATTACCGGTGTCAAACTGAAATAAATTAAAAAACAGCTTTTATAAGCAATCCCAAACACCCTCTTATTAAAGCTCGATGTTTGAATTCGTATAACTAGCTGCGGATAAATATAATCAAATAGAGAATAAAATCTCATTTTAAAATATAAAAAATCTAAAATATAATTAGAATAATTATTGAGTTTTAACAAAATAAATAATTATTATTTTTATATGAAAATTATATTATTAAACCAAATATAAATTACTTTATTATTGTACCTAAATTAAATTATAA